CCTCACCTTAGTTTGTCCTCCTGGGACCCAAGACTTTGAGTTCTCCTAAAACATCACTGATTCAGGGGTTTACTACGAGCAGACAAATTGTCAGGAGACAACGTGACTGTCGTAGCTCAGACTGCTTTGTTGCCTTATGGACTGAAGATTTTCCATCCGTCCGTGCAACCACACTGTAAGTTGCCTTTGTCCGAGAATTCAAATTTTGCAGGAGTCCGAACTAAGCTAATCAGCTCATTTATTGCGTTGTGGACCCATACCTAAGCAGAAACCCTCTGAAACAAGAATAATGCCACTTATAATGAACTTATTTCAGTCCCTTCTCTATGCGATACGCTTGGATGTAGTCAACTTTGCCTTCTTGGCCCTAATCGAACAGCTAAATGTGGATGTGGAGAAGGTTACGAATTGCACAAAAATGGAAAAAACTGCACCAGCAACTGCGATTCGAATCATATCGAGTGCGGTGGAACAGAAGCCAAGTAAGTTTTGTTCATCGATTCTCAGTAGAGGGTAAGAAATTAGTAGTCGAACAGCCCTACCAGGGACATAGGGATGATGGACAGCAAAGCGTTCTTACATATCGAATGTATTATTATGTTCTAAGTAACATAGTGACCACATGACTCCAGTGGAATAGGAGGGGGAGGTACTGATGGCGGAACTTCTCCCCGATCCCACGGCAAGCGGCAGTGGTCACGTGGCGGCTACCCTATTCTTCCACTGAAAATTCAAACCTTCTCCTCATAGCGCGCGGCCGGCCGCGATCGCGTGCGGCGAGCGCGACGTCGCTTTCGGGGAGAAGACACTGGACCCAGAATGCGAATTGACTACTTTTCCCTCCAGCAGAAGCAGTTCACGATGAGATCTCCGCCCACAAGCAAAGGGATGAGAAAATGCGTATGGGTAAGACCTTACCCATACGCATTTTCTCTTTTACCAGACATGTTTTCAGAAATTCACCTAAAGTGGGAGGAATGCCTCAAACTTCCACTATTACTTTGTTTCAGACTGGCCCCGTAGTTTTCATTTTTTTTCTAAATTTGAAACATGGGATATAGTAGAATCGTCACACTCCGCGAGAGATCTGTACCATCACTGTACATCCTGAAGCTCACGCAAACATTTCCCTGTGTAAACACGGTCGCTGTTGCCTCGACTTAGCTCGCTGGTACCTTATTTACCAAGTTCAACTTACCCATGTATGTCTTGGTCGGGAGTGAGGGAAATATTACCAAGTGGTATGCTGCGCTTGCCTCAGCAGCTGCGTGTCGCAGAATTTCAACGGTTGATTGGAGCGTACAATGTATGAGGCAAATTTGATTATTCCGGCATAATTTCAATGTGTAATCTGGTCTTTGGGGCTTAACACCACGAAACCCCTACCGAAGATCCGCCAGGGGTCAGAGGTTCGTCTCGTGCGGCGCGTCCGTGGGAATTGCGGCGAAAACTGTCATCCCTTGATCGATCACTTTTTTCGCAATGAACGGGGCTGACGATAAGGAAGGGCTGTACTCACTTGCTTCAGATGCGTTTCGATGCTATATCTCTGTGACGGCATCTCTCACTGTCAAAGCCATGCCGACGAAACCAACTGCCGTGAGTTTCCCCCGTATAGCAACGACTCCTCTCCTACGATTTCTCCCGAACGGTTACTCTGGGAAGACTTCCTTACTCCCTCTTCTCATCTGGAATTGTCCCGCATGTCGTTAATCTTATTTGTTTTTCAACTAACATTCCCTTCGTTAACATGTGTAGCATCAGAATTTGTTGACCTTTTTCTTGCTAATCTCTCATTTCGCTGACAGCACGAATTTCCATTAGGTCATTTAATTTATCCCTGGATCCAGACCGAACCTGGACAAATTCACTGTTGCGATAGTCCCAACAAACCTCTGAAATGCCCACTGTCCTTTCAGCACCTCGTATCTGCCTTCCGGGACAATTCCAGTGCCACGACAATAAGAAATGTGTAGCTCCGGGAGGTCTGTGCGACGGAGTTGAGGACTGCTGGGATGCGTCCGACGAGAAATACTGTTCGGCCTCATTTCGTGGTAACAGCCCAAATCATCAAATGAATGAAATGGTTGCCTAAGGAAGGCATTTGAAGCAGCTAATGATTATGGTATTCGTTTTTGGGCATATACAATATTGTCGACTTTTCAAGTTATATAATGATTTTGATCTCATTATTGTGTCGTTGTTGGAGCTGATAANCTCGAATCCCGGATCGATATCCGCCTAGACCATCCCAGCCTCCCATCCCTCGTGGGTCAGCTAATTGGTAGACTCGTTTGGGACTATGAAAGCACTAACTTGTACATCGGCTGGCCACCGCAAGTCATTGTATAGGCCAAATACGCATTCAATACGCCACTACGATTCTGAATGGAAGTCGAATGCGTGGGCGCATCTTCCAGACGGGAATGATTAACGCCACAAGACTTTATCAAGACTTTTAATCGGAAATTGACATTTCGTCTTGCCAGCAGTTTGTGACAAGCAAGCAGACAGACAATGTGTATCAAACCTTTTGACCCTTCTTCTGCCTTAGAAGAGGCATTGTGAAAGTCTACACTGAAGAGAGCGTCATTGTAAAATGGCGATATGTACTTCCTGTGCACGAAGGTTCCATTGGGAGCGTTTATAGAAGATCTGATGATAGAAGCCAGAATTATCATGAATGACGTCATAGGACTGACCGAGACAAGGAAGACGAGAAGGCTTCGTTCGCTTCACACCGCTTTCGAGATTGGAAAAAAGCTATTTCTTGGAGCATGCGCCAGCGAAGACGTCAGCGGTGTAAGTATTCCCGTCAAGATGCACTTGGCCATGAACTCCGTACAAATGCTTGACAACGCGAATCGAAGTATGCGATTGAGAAAATGGGCTCAATTCACGCTCATACAATCTTCGTTGCCTAACCACCGACATCAAGTTACGAAGAAGAGGAGCTAGGAGCATTTCATATGGACCTGAAAAGCATCTGCAGAAAGGACCATACCTTCTTTAAGATTATCGCCGATGATTTCAGCGCCACGATTGGCCCTAGAAGAACAGCTGAAGAGCTCCATCTGGGACTCACAGAAGAGAATGGAAATGAGTGAGCAGGGTAAAAGGCTGTCCAGGTTTATCATGTAGACGCAAACCACCCATAATGAGTCGTAGTTCCAGGAGCCCAATCATTTGCGATGGACATGGGAGTCACCTGATTCCCAGTTCCATAATTTAAGGATTACATCATCGAAAGTTTTGCATGACCGATGTCGCTGTTGATCCGAAGTTCTACACAGGACCGGACCATCGTCTTTTCCAGATTCTGTTTTCAATGCATGAAAAAGTATTACTATGTTCACTAAACGAAGTCCCAAGGCTTTCATCAGTCTAGGCACCTTCGTTTCCCTTGCGAGTTTCTGGGAAGACCTGAGACTCGAAATGACACGCCAGCATGGAATCGCGCGAGCTACAGGCAAACACAAACTAACGTACGAACTTGCGGAGCTATGCAGAGGAGCGATAAAGGAAGACCTGAAAGAGAGAAGACCAGCAATTCTGACCAAGCCGCCAGAACTGGGAAACGCTTTCACGATGCCCGCCAGAGGCTCGCCATTCTCATGACTGTGACTTTCCGCCCTGACGGAACACTCAATGCACCTAGGAGGGCAGTAGAAGGGGTCACCTACGGTTTCTATTCTGATTTCATCACATTACGTCAGCCACGTCTACCTGCCTGTATGCAATCTTCAGCAAAATAAATATGTCGTTTTTTCAATTCTCTCTTTAAAAATTCGTTATGAAATCACGTCTATAAAAATTTTATGCCTCCGGTCTCGATAAGATTTGTCCAGAACGTATGAAGGACCTCCCATCAGTTATGGTCAAAACCCTGGCTAGGCTACTCACGCGGAATGCAAAAATGTCCACGTAGTGGAAAGCTAGCACTTGCAAAATGCCCATGTAGTGGAATTGCTGGCCCATAAGAAAGGAGAAATGGATTCTCTATCACGCGTGTGCAGAAGAAAATCCGTAATCCCGAGCTCCGTCAACGAACAAAGACCAGGGATGGCGTCGCTTATGCCAAGGATTCGAAGATCAGGTGGGCTGGACAGCTTTGCGATATCGTAAAGACCATTGGGCCAGGGCGGCTGGAGACTGGATCGCTCAGGACGTCAAACGAGCACCAAGACGCTTGTCAGCGCACTAATTCCTTACTCGTGTCCCTCGAGCGATGACGATCCACTGGACAGTGCTGACTCGCGACAGGGATGAGTGGAGACGATACTGGCTCCCGCTCGAGGAAATAGAAGTTCAACGGGAAGGCAGACGATGTGCAGGTGATAGGTGACAATAAAGGGTCTCCTGACGATTTTAGCAACTATCGCACAATCTGCCTCTGACTGATACAGTATCTAGAAACTTTTCGCACGAGCCATTCTTCACAGAATTGACAGAATATTAGATGACTGCAAAAGAAATACAACATCGCCCACTATCGCGCAAACTCATTATCGATGGCTCATGTTACGGGCTGATCACAACTTAAAGAAAGCTACTAAGCATTCCATGGAAATATATAAATTGAGACCAGTAGTGACGCCCGGCTAACGTCGTGTTTCCCCCCTTCTTATGAAAGAGTTGTAGTAATCGGCAAACCACCCTCTCCTTTGGGAATAAATGTTAATTTTTGGAACACGAAACTTGACAGACGGTTAGGGCATGCAGTTGATTCAAAATATGCCGATACTTATGCCTATGATTAGAGGTCTCGATCTGTTGCTGTTCATCTCAAAAATAATGACCCATTGATGATTAAACTGGTTCGAATTAAATATTTTCACTAACGCCACGCCCCTTGTGGGCGGAGTCTAGTCCTGTCTCCCATCATTAGTGCTCTACTTTCTGCCTACTTTCATTCAATTTCGAAGACTGATTGCTGTATTATATTAATTTCATGTGTTTGGGGACTTGCTTTAGTTGATCAGCACAACTCTTCAATTCAATTTGACCTAACTGTTTTAAAATAAGTCCTGGTCACCTATATCTCCAAGCATGCAATCCTTCATTGGAAACTACTAGCGCTGTATTGCTCTGCAGCCGTGAAGCTAGGACAGTTAACACAGGGTTACTCTTTATTCTAGCTGCTAGCAGAAGCTAGTAGCTAGAATAAAGAGTAACCCTGTGTTAATTCCTTGATATGCCAACATTGTGTTATGTGTGCCCCCCTCCCCGTTCATCACTATACCGCACTGATTTCATAAAGGTAAAGCCAGGATACACTATTTGATTGCAATTCAGACGCGCAGCGCATTTTCCACCTATTATAAACCTAATATACGGTGCTAGTTTTACGGCTGCAGAGCAAAACGAGGTAAGCAAACCGGACACCCCTGTCTGCTTGCTGAGTGTACGTGTACGTCGTCGGCAGTTTTCAATCCTATTGTATTGAATTTTTGTATGAAATAGGTTAGTATTTCAGATTTCGAGGTTTTCCATTCATTACCAGGTAGATATGGTTCACAGTCCCAGTACCTCATTAACAAGAACTTCATTAGCAAATACCCTCATCTGTTCCCCATAGGTGTTCGGGAAAAGTCCCCCACAGGTGACTGGGTACTATATGTACCTGGTAATGAATGGAAAACCTCGAAACCTGAACTACTAACCTATCTCATACAAAAACTCAATACAATAGGATTGAAAACTGTACACTCAGCAAGCGGACAAGGGTGTCCGGTGTGCTTACCCCGAGCAAAACAGCGCTAGTTCCAAGGACTACATGCTTGCAGATATAGGTAACCAGGGTCTTTTCTAGAATAATTAGATGAAATTAAATTGAAGAGTTGAACTGATCAACTGAAGCAAGTCCTCAAACACATTGAATCAGCACAACAGTAGTCCTCCAAACTGAATAAAAGTAAGCGTAGAGCCACAGTAATTGCTGTTATTACACAAGTTATGACTGCTACTGGGGTGTAAATAAGTAGCACCGCAATGGCTGCTTTCATAGTTCACGATTTGGCCCGTGACCGGTCGCGCGACCAATCGAGCGACCGATCGAGCAACCAGTCGGGCGACCAATCGAGCGACCGATCGAGCAACCAATCGAGCGATCGATGGCGCGACCGGTCGAGTGACCGGTCGTGCGACCGATCGAACGACCGATCGCGGGCCAAATGGGCTATGAAAGCAGCCAATCCGCTCTGTTCTGTCACTCGTTTCCTTGTTCTTTCCTCGCATCAGTTACAGACATTTTGTGCAGCTTGTGTTTTTAAATGAGTCCCGAAATCATTGAAATTTTCAGCTTCCTTCACATTTCTTCTGTCAGAAACACTTATTGGAATGGCGCCCATAAGGCTGGAATCTGTAAAGCAGTATATGCGTGAGTTGTTTGAGTCTATTTCTTACAATAGTAATTCACTATTTTATTGTCGATAATGAGAATAGAATTTAGGCGACTGAATGTTCAAGCAAGTAAGTAATTTGATTTTGAAATCGATTCCCATTAAGTGAAACCCATTGGGATGCATACACTCCTGTAGATGAGTCCTGAGAATTTGTGTGGAATAATTTGTACTCTAGTTCTTGTTTTCACACTGAGGATTACATTTCGATGTGTGGGTGCACTCTAGTTTTTGGCCCAATACAGCACGGAGATAGGTATTGGAACTACTGCATTGCAGAAGTCTCACCCAAAGTAATTCCGATCATTGCTAGGCATGAAAACTCCAATATTATTATGCTGAATGATCATGAATCTTGAAAATTTTGCTTTACGTGCTTTGCCATTTTATCTCTAAAGGTGTATATGTGCAGTAAATAGAGTGCAGGGCTCATTTTGAAAACGGAGTTCATCGTCGTCGAAGGCTTTTTTTCCTCCATACGTGAGGCAACTTGCAAATACAACAAGTACAAAGACACGCAGCATATGGATACTTTTCGATTTCCAGATACTATGCGCTCGCGTCTAATAGAGTTGGTGCAGAAGGAGAAGTGTCTCTGGGATCAAAGGAATGAAGAATATAAAATGCAAGGTCCAAGAGAAGACGCATGGGGAAGGATAGCAAGTTTGATGAGAGATGAAGGACATAATGTAACCGGTGGGTTTCGTTCACTCGTTGGTCATAACATGAGATAATCTCGTGTTTGAAGCTTCAGTGAGTGAATTGAAAGCGACATGGAAGGGAATGCGTGACATCTGGAGAAGGCTGAGAACGAGTAAGACTGGATCGAGGACGTCATGGCCTTTTTTTAAAGCACTCGAATTTCTGGAACAAAATGAACTCACTGACAATGAGTAGTCTTTATTATTTATGGTTCCTAGCTATGTGCAAGGATGCAATTATTTTGTTTAGGGAGACTGCTAGCCGTAACTACTCGATGCATAACACGTCTTCCGTACCGCAGGAGCGTGAGGAAAGTAGTTACGGTACGCGAATTTTGTTCCCATATCAGGAAGAGCTCCCTCTGATCACACGCTCCATTCACAGAAAGAGCAGGGTTCATAAAAGAGGAAATAGGCGACATTGATCTGGTCGGTACGAGTATGCAGGAGAACGTAAATACAGAAGACAAGTACGAACATTTTGGTAAGCATGCTTGTTTATAGTTATATCTGTTCCGGAGACGACAGATAATTTTTCAGGAAAATTGGTCACTTCTGTGCTTCGTGATTACGACAAAAATGTGAATGAGGAGTTCGCCATGAATAAAATGGAAGCCATATTCTCTGTTATAATGTCAAGGGATTGGTATGGTAGACGGTTAACAAGACCACTATCGATCTAGAGACGCTCCTCAACAATGCGCTTCTTCGTCAAGTAGGTAAGCTGGGCTGTCTTCTGTCTTGCTTTTGTGGTGTAGGCCACTCTCGCAAGCACTCTGAGGTTATAAGATCATTTAACTTTCAAAAGAGGTAGAGTCAGGGAAAACGGTTGTTATAAAAACATTTCTACTACTTTCTGTGTTCTATTAAAAAGCAAAGGAGGCTTGTAGTACTGGTGGCGAAAGTAAATATTGCACCTTACTTACTACGATTGATTGAAACTAACAATAATTCGCCTTTGATTATATGCTCAGCTCATAATGGAATTTGTGAGCAGGAAGCCTTTAACCACGTAAGTAGAAGGAAGTACGGTGGAAAGACCACCCTTCTGAAAACGTCAATGAGCGTCACAACGTGCAAATGATTTTGGTCAAGTGCTGTGGACAAGTGATACCATAACTGACTTTTGCCCTTGCCATTTTAGTGCACTTTCTCTCTTTTCTCTCCGAAACTGAAAATTTGCAGTGGATTGATGCCCCTCAACATAGAGCTTTTAATCATCAAAACTTAACTCTAAAGGTGATGAAAGAAACAATCTATAACAATTGTTGAGAGTTCTCCAGAAAGAGGGGGAGGGGGCTAGAAGGGGAAGCTGGGAGGGTTGGCTTTCAATGTGTCTTTCCGAGGTAACGGTATTCTTTATGGGACATATTCAGAATGCTATTGTACAGAACGAAGCCGATCACTTCAGCACAGTAACGAGAATTGTTCGTTTTATTATGTTTTTTCTTCGTTTTATTCAATTGAATCAGGTGTTAGAATCATTCGTTCATATTTCAGATGTCATGTTGCAAAAATAAATGGTGGAACGAACAGTGATTGCCCGCACGAGACGTGCGACAGATCAAATGGGGCGCTACATCTCTATGAGACTGATGCATGTTCTCACCTGGTACAAACATCGTGAATAAGCTGAAAAGGTTTGCGTGCTGAGGGCGTACAACTCAGGAGAACAATTGATCATCTCCCCGCGGTGAGACATCGATTCATTCCAGATGTTTCTTAAGAATTATCTCATGTACTCATTTCTACACTTCATTTCTCATTAAGAGATTTGGTCGTGGTCCTTGCTCGTATCATCTTTTCAGAATATCTCATGTATGTATATATGTTATACGTGTTTATGTATACGTAAAACTACATTTATAAAGTGTGAATCACCACCGTCCAAACAAACCAAATTAAGAAAGCAACACGAAGCGATTGTCTCAGTGTTCTCTAGTGGAGGATGTTCCTGAAAATCCGACCAATGTTTGCTTTTTCATCAAATTCTCGGCTGATGTGAGTCGGACGCGAGACGTTTTAACTGCTGAAAAGTTCCTCGACGATTTTAAACGAGCGACTATAAGAACAAAACAAAGGTTTACACTCGGGACGTTTTCGTAAGCGACACCAAGAAGTCTCTTCTCGAAACTCGTACAAGCCTTCCAGGCTCCTGATTTAAGAGTAAGTAGCGGCTCGATACAGTAGTTTCCCATATAGGATTGAGGTGAATGCTGTGGGCGCACAACTAGTCTAGTGAACCCTTTGGCGATCATGGCACCCGCCGGTGAGTGCCGCTATGACTGGCGCATGGGACCATGGCAGCCAATGTTGGGTGCCACCATGTTTTTTCCTTTATTTGCGTATTTGAAACTTATTCAATATTTTCATATTTATTAAGAAACTTCATGGTATTTATACTCACTAAGGTCCACGTGAATGTTTTAAAGGAGCTTATTTACTACAAACATATATAGTCAATGGAGTAGTACTGAAAGGTCTAGATACCTTGGCAAGATTTGTGTGTGTCCTGGAAGCATTGCAGGCAGTACTTAGAATACCTGATTTGCGCTTATGTGACCGCGCGGTCGATCTCTTCATCCTCAAGCTCCTTGGATGTATTCGAATTCCTACTGCTTACACTATTACCAAAATCCTAACCTATATTGCTTCCAAACCCGAAGTGCTGTACTAAGCCTCAGTTTTATATAAGGTAAAATAAGATCTGATGCTTCTGTTATGCGGAATTATTGCTAACTCATCAGGCCAGAGATAGGATTTTTTCCTGCGACCATGTCACTCACCGGTGGGTGACAGTCGTGCACGAAAGGAAGGGGGCGTCACGTCGAAATCGGCATTGTCGTCAAAGGGTTAATCACCAACGCAATGTTTTTTATAAGTACCTCTTGATACGATACCGAAGGCCTATCGGTCCCTCGAAGGTTGAATGGCCTTCAAAGATCGCGTCGTTGAGACGGTACTCGCCGTTTGTCCCATATGAGAAGTTCTTCGCTTCCTCTATTACTCCTTATTAAAGGTACGTCGGGAGAGTATCACTGTATAGCTTAAATTTTCCTTCATCCCCGTTCAGTGTTCGCAGTGGGCTTTGCAATGTTCGACAAGCTACATTGAAGTTATCTTTGAGGTTCTTGACTTTATTGGTGAATGGAAATCCAGCAGCGATGGTTCCATTTTTGATAAAAATGGTTTTTTCTGTAGTCTTCCATAAATTTGGCGATGGCTGCTTCATCTGTGCCACTTTTCGTACAAGTGATGGCTTCGCGGCAACTTCTTGGGTTTCCCTGAGCTCGCGGAAGACGTTCGATTTCGTTCATAAAGATATGTGCGATGCTTGCAGATCGGTCGTAATGTTTTTTGAGAATGATGGGGTAATGTATTCTCCCCCATTACCGAGATGCTGCTAATGAACTTTACTTGGTCGCTCAAGTCGTCATCGCTGTAAATGAGCGACTCGAAGGCTGACCAAAAGGTGCTGAACTCCCTATAATTTCCTGAGAAGGTAGGGACTTCAAGTAGTGGGTGTCGTATTCGAATGTTGCGTTCTTGCGGCGTTGCACCAGTGGACCTTTCTTGACAGCTGGTGTAAAAAGCAAAAGAGTCTTGTAGTACTGGTGGCAAAAGTAAACATTGCACCTTACTTAGTCCTCTACCCAGTCCTTTACCTTCAGAGCGTGTTACTCAATCACTTCCCTTTCTTCACACTGGCGTAGACTCCACAGATCCGATTATGGTCAAGTCTTTATCCGGAGAAGATTCCGAGCGATATGTGGCTCTGTTCACCTGCTTGGTTGGTCACGCGACTTGTTCACTTAAAAGTAGCTATGGTTTTATCAGCGAAAAGCTTCATCTTCACACCCACGCGATTTATCGCTTGAAGAGGAGTTCCATTGAAAAAACTGAGCGGCAATGGCACAAGCCTCAAGCTGACCGAATCTCTTCTATCTCAAGATGGGAACCTCGAGAAAGACAGCCGCTTGCCTCTGCCTCTTGCCTCGAACATCGGATAGCATGAAACTTCATTCCACCTTCATCACCCTGGATGGGTGGCCTATTGCAAAGAATTTTCGGCGAGATCGAAGAGAGAGATGGAAAAGACAATAGGCCAAAAGTTAACAGGCGATCTTCTTCACACTACACTCTATGAAGTGGAAAGCATTGTCACTCGTGGCCAATCACAACTATTGGAGATCAAGGTTTGCCATGCGAAGCCTTGCGGCCGATTGACTTCATATATAATGATGTAAGACATGTAACTACCCAGTTTCCTTCAGAGGATCACGACAACAATCCAGATGTTCAACCTCTTCCTGAACTCCCTTCCCAAAAGGCGGCAAAGCCAGCTATATCAGCGACCGAAAGCTCAGAAGTTTTGGAGCATATGGAGGATCAAAAACCTCATGGAATTACGCGATCGTTACAATGTAGTCGGATCAAAAACAAGATCTTCAGAACAGTAACCTCGCATCGGCGACGTGGGCAATGGCAGTGATAACTGGCCTAGTTAAAAGCAGAGATGGAGAAGTTTGAAGCGACGTGCTTCAAACATCAACAGGAGTAGCTGTTCAGCAGCCATTCAATCGACTTATTCCTTTGGGAATACGCTCTTCTATTCATTTTACACAAGACCGGAACAACGAATCTTCAACACCAAGAACAGGAGCTACTAATTCAAGAAAACCATCTTCGCCATCGAAGAAAACAGCTCTTATAAGACATCAGCTATCAAGAGCTGCGAAGGACGAAGCTTCTTATAAAGCCAGGTCAAGCTCTATCGGATCAATCAAATCGGCATCATACACACTCTTCATGAGCGTCATATGCATACTTACGCTGGCTAGTTCACGGTCTTCAGCCACCGTATCACACTGGAATAAAGGTGCGATAATAAATACAACGCTGTCCACTTAAGCAGAACTCTGCGTGAACTACATAGAATGCGTAACGACTCCTGCTGAAGCCAACATCACGGAAGCAGTGTTACCATCCAAGTATCTCGTCATTCAACAAACTATTCAATGGCGTACAATCGATGGATCTGAGCAGTACAGGGAGACCATTGTCTGTCCTACAGGAGATGTATGCGAGAAGATAAACTGCATAATGTGCACGAAATTTTTCAGAAATCCTCACTGTGCGCCACAAGTGATGATAGCAATTCTTGCGATATGCCTTGCACTCGTCTTAGGCCCAATATCAGTGCTATACTGTATAGCATTCCGACAGGTGCTCTCCAAACGACACCGGAGAAAATACAAGAAGACCAGCATCTCACCTGAAAAGTCAGAGGAGAACATAACAGTGACAAGCTTGTCTGGGCTACCAACGAGGTCAGGATGATCAACTTCACCATAGTGAAGGCATATATGGTTTCCAGTGTACAATCGTGTCAATACACGCATATACTCACAGCCAACAACATGGTTTCCAGATCAACCAACATAACCGATTGTCGAGAAATACTACAAAGCACCATAACGCTGAGTGGAAGCAGACCCCGGGCTTGCTTTCGTCTTCCAAACCAGAATCGAACAATCGGGAGCATGGAAATACGGTTGCAACACGTAATCCTAACCCATTGGCATCTTTCTTAGTCCACGATTTTGCGAGCGACCAGTCGCGCGACTGGTCGCGGACCCATCTCGCGAGCGACTGGCGACCAGTCGCGCCGCGTGCTGCACATGGTGCAGCACGCCCCTATGCCTATGCGCGGCCGCGTTTTCTTCCAAAATCATCCTAGAATTCGAATAAAGTTCGAACAGCCCATACTTTGTGATTCGCTCAAACAACCGCTCCGTGTGGCTGCGTGCTGCACACCGTGAACCACGTCGCCGCGTCGATTATGAAGAAAACCCGAGCACATGTGGCAGCTAGCGCAAAACACTGCGGTACGCAATGGTTAACTGTAATTCAGTAGCACTCTTTTGTACGAGAGACGTCAACATTGCCACAGAATCCTAGTTGGCTTCTCGTCAGCAAAACGTTCCTACGATGGATTTTGTTCATATGGATTTTGTTCATCATTGCACTCAGCTTTTCTTAGGACGTTTCTTTGGACGAAACGAAAATTCTGTACGGCACTCGGCTCTTGCGGTAATCCAACCCCATGTTAATGAGCAAATTTTCATCCTTCACATATACGACGCGTCGAAAAGGGGCCTTGCCAAGGGGGTTACTGTGAGAGCCGAGTTCCCGCACTGAATCTTCGTTTCTGTTCCTTTGACGAGCGCTACAAAGCAGAAGGCATCAAGAAGCATCTTCCGCAGCCTGCGCGCAGCTGTGCAGCGGTCTTACAATTAGATTTCAGCCGTTGCATTGCTCAGGCATAGCCCAGTTCGCAAGCCTTTTCCAAATATGCATCACACGACCCTCTACCTAACTCATTACTCGTCCCGTGTCCTTGCCCGAAGCCCCTTTCCCATGCGTCGTATATGGCGCGGGTGGGAAGTTGTGCAGTCCGATAAGTTTATGCCGTAAAATGAAATATATTGTAAACAGAAATCCTGCAGATTTTGGAGCATGGTATTTGATGGATTCCGCTCTGTACCGTCACACGTTTCATTGTTCTTTCCTCGTACCAATTACAAACATTTTGTGCAGCTTGTGATTTTAAATGATTCCCGAAATGATTGAAATTTTCGGTTCTCACCACATTTCTTCTCAGTAGCACTTATTGGAATGGCGCCCATGAGGCGGGGATGCAGAATAAGGCAATATGTTGGTGAGTGGTGTAAGTCTACTTTTTTCCAGTTTGTATAAGTTCTTTGCAAGTGAACCTCACTTATGTAAGAAAATTATTCACTATCTGATCATAATGAGAATTAGAATATAAGCGAGTGAATGTTCACACAAAAAATGGGTGCGATTCCTGAGAGCAAAGTAGAGTCTATGTCAATGAGCGCTCAAACAAGAAACAATTCAGTTTTCGAAATCGATTTGGAGTGAAGCCCATTTAAATGAATACAGTCCTGTAGCTAAGTTCTGAGAATTTGTGCAAGAGAAATTTGTGCTCGAGTTCTTGTTTTTATCCTCAAGACTGTATTTCGACTTGTGGGTACACTCTACTTTTGATTAAAGCACCGGACGAAGATAGGTATGAGATCTTGTTGGTCACCTCGCACTTGACATCTATCTATAGTAGGTGTGAGAGTACATGGTCATTATGCTGTCCACATATCGATATTCAGCAGGTCAAACTTCATTGACCGAAGAGAATGGCAACAGTGAGAAAGAGAAGGCATATAAAATAATTAGTTTGAGAAAAAAAAGGAAGTAAAACTTCTGTAGAAAATTAAGTTTTTTCAGGAAGTAAAAATTTCCCGGTAACTAACTGAGATTCTCAATTTCGGGCAAAATGAAAAAAAATTTAGTAAAATTGAGTTTGATATCTGTGAAAATGAGCTGATGCTTCGCTTTTCCACAATTCACGTTTCATCCGTGCACAAAATATAGTTCTTTATTGGCAATATTCAGTTTCCTGTCGAATCATAAACTTTTTCAGAATGCTTCTTTTTTATTGCTGTTATCCCCTTCAGTTATTTATTTTTTACTCGCTTGGTAAAGCTATGCAGACAGCTCATAGACCATGACGTCTTCACGTTCAATTGAGATTAGCTCATGCTCAGATTTGAAGTCACCTCAATCGTATAGAAGTTCGTATATCCCCCGGAGAAAAGAGCCCCAGTTCTAGACAGCGTACGTTACGTTACTAGAAGTTTCTTTATTCGTGAAGTAACGATCTCTTCAAAGGTTTTCACGTCCGTACGCATAGGTCGTGGTACTCTTACCATTTCTGTAAGACGACTTCGTAAGAGATCCAAGTTCGGCATTGCCCCGCCGCTCTTACTGAATAGCAACAATTGATCTTTTGGTAGACGTCGCATCCGACTCTCTACTCCGGGCTGCGTGATAACACCGGGTAAAATCCTTTGCACTCATCGAGGAGGATATTACCGTGTGTTATCATGCAGCCCAAATCTTTAAAAGTTCTCCATTACATGCTTTACATTTTATGTTATCTCTAAATGCTATATACATGTGGTAGATGGAACGCGAGACCTACCTCGAAAACGGAATTTATCAATGTCAAAGACCATTTTCTATCCTTTATATGTGTTTACACATACAACATATAAAAACATGCAGGTGAAAATGTAGTTGGGGGGGGGG